GTTAATAATATATTTTATTATAAATGTATATAAAAAATGTAAAAGTTGATATTAATCTTAATGTTAATGCTAAGTGATTGAATTTAATTAAATAATTAATCAATTAAAGGTTGATTTTCATTTTTTTCAATATAAAATTATGACAAAAAGATGTATTTAATGTATTCTTAATATAAAGTCTTAGGGCATAAGTTAAACAAACCCACATAATAAAACGAAAAATAAGCATTTTAAAAGAAGATTTTTTTAACTAGCGTACTTAAAATATAAGTTAATATATATAGATATTATATTTCTTTATTATTTGAGTTTGTTCAACTTGTGCCCTAAGAGCATATATTAAGTGTATTAAATACATTTTTTTGTCATAAACTTATATTGAAAAAATAAAAATCAACATTTAATTTATTAACTATTCAATTAAATTTAACCACTTAGCATTGACATTAAAATTAATATCAATATTTATATTTTTTATATACATTTATAATAAAAAAAATATTCTTAACATTTATCATAAGGGTACAAGTTAAAACAACCTTTATTGTTTTTCTAGTAACAGAGTTTGTTTTAATTAAAAGGAAACGGAGACCAAAAAACTTTCAAGAGAGAATTTTTTCATGCCACATAACTGCTCACATGACAGCATGTGGCAGTACCGAAGGATTTCCATTAATAGAATTAGTGGAGTTGTGTGGGATAGACAAAACTAAAACAATTTTGAAAGTTAATAGATAAGGTTAAAAATAAAAATAAAAATACTAGACTAAAATGAAAAAAAAAAAAGTAATAATTAATAGATAATTTGTCAAATTAAACCCTAAAAAATTAAAAACCTTTAATCTTTTAGGTCCAAAAGGAAATCTATTTACAAACCTACGTTTTAAGGCGTTTGGTAAGTTTTGACGCCCCACTCAATCTTCAATCAAGTGTGAGCCTTGACCCATTCCTTTTTTAGTCTTTTTAGCCCATCAAATAAGACAAAAAATATTATTGGGCCTCGCCCAATAATATCGGAGCCCAGCCTGGCTTAGGTCCTCCCCGGCGGCATTGCCGGTTTCCAGAAACCGGCGATCTCCCTGGAATTTCCAGATTTCGGGAGGGGAGAAAAAAATCCAAAAAAAAAGCGTAAAAATCCAGAAAAAATCCAATACCATCAACAGAACCTAATGCAAATCCCAGCGCAGCCAAAAACACTGAAAATAAGCTTAAATTCAGAGTTTTTATTCAAAGACAGTACATTAAAGGAGAACAAACAGAAAATTTCACCCACAACAAACTCAAAACCCACAGATCCACAATGAGAAATAGGCAATCAAACGCATAAGACTGTTTCATGGGATCAAGAGTTTCCGGGTATCCCGTTTTGGGATAGTCCCAGAGACCCAATCACGGTCCTATACTCTCGGATCTAGGATTTTACCCAGCAAAATGGACGAACGGAGCAAGGATCGGTCGAGTATGATATGCAGTAAAAT